GGTGCAGGGGATGGCTGGCGCCCTTTTTTTGTTATCGGATGGATAATAGCTTCAGTGGATAATTGAGGCAGTAATTTAACATTCTTAAACTTAAACACTCTAGGTTGTTTGCCAAACAAGGTTTGCTGCTTTACTCTAAAAATTTAAAAAAAAAAGGTTGACGCTCAAAAATAGCATTAAATTTAACATTTTTTGATTCTTCAGTCATGTTTCAATTTAAAAAACAAAATACTTAGGGACATCAACAGAATAAATTTCGAAATAGCACTGAAAAATTACAAGTAAATATTTTAAAAATAAAAATTAACTCTAGATTTTTTTTTTCTGTCCAGTCTTAAAAAAAAAATAATGTATTTTATTAAATTAGGCAATTAGCAACTGCTAGAAAAATATCTTTTGAGTTTTATTGAACTATTTTTGATAAGATTCGGACGTCCTCCTCCTCCCCATTAAAACACAAGGTGATGAAGTGTGTGTGTGTGAAAAAGAACTGAGACACACTACCCCCAAAAAAATATTTACACAAAATTTTCTAATAAAATAACCTAGTCAGTATACAAGTAATTCCTTAACGAATAAGTATTGAAAATTCCATTTGAATTTTGTTATGTTGTCTCTGTTCAAAATAGCTGAGAATCAGGAAGGCTGTAGTTAAAGAGTATCAAAGGAACAGAAAACTAGGCAGGGAAAATGAAGAGTTCATTAAATATTTGTACACAGACTGGAAAAAATGTAGTAAATCAACTACTATTAAAATTCTACTCTAATATGGCTACTTGGCATATTTATAAATCAGAGCAGTCTATTGTCATAGTAGTAGGAAAGAGCAGGAAGTACATTGAATCCTACTCTACAACAAACCAGATAATTCCCTGGTTTTTAGTAAAAATTTTAAACAGGAGTAGTAGCAATTTTTTTTTTTTTTTTTAAACACATCCATAAATAAAAGCCCCCCCTGGAAATTTTGAAAATCACCTTTCATGCAAAACTGTTGTTTGTAATGTCTTGTTCAACACCATATACTTTCCTGATTTCTTGTAGTTAAATAAATAATATTTGTGTTTATTTTTTTTTAAAAATCAATCTGGTGGCACTTTGACACAATATAACATCTACAAAATGCACAAAAAAATAAAGCAGTGGAAATAAGACTTCAAAATTATTATTTAATATCTTTTCCAACACTTGGGATATTTTGGATGCGTGATGATGATCATATATTAACTCCTTCCCACAGCTTAAAGAAACAGCACTTTCCTCAGCGCATGAGCTGTTCAAAGCTGCACACTCCCAATAATGTCAGGTATTCCTGAGGTGACCTGTGAAACAGAAAGATTTAACCACAAAAGAGAAAACTTGAGCTGCTGCTTGGTATATTTCTCTGATTTTCCCTTCCATATCTCTGTTATCACATTGTTTATATCCCAAGGTACCACAACCTCTATCAAGATCCATTTATGTCTTTTTTTTGTGATATCAGGGCAATTGTGTTCTCTATGTGCTTGTCAGTCAAGATGGTACTACCCCACATGAACTTCATTAGCTAATCCTCAGATACTGAGAGTGATGAATACTCGTACCACTTTTCTGTATGCTTAAGGCCATGCTTTCTGCATAGTTCCCAATGTATTCTGAGGGATACATTTTCATGGCCTCATCTATACTCTTTTTGTGCTAGCTGCATGCTGCCACTGACTGTTGTACACTTAGAATTGCTTTGCAATACAGCCTGCACAAGGTTAAATCAGCTGTTCTATCAATAGAACTTGTTCTTAAAGCCTGTTCTTATGCTACACATATCAACTCTTCAGTTTCCTTTTTCAAAGACTGGTTCCTAAGCTATCTCCATGATCCTGGATCTTCTATCTTTTTGTTCAAAGCTTTTCCTTCCATGCATTAAGATTCTCATCATAGATTCTTATAATCTGCTAACCATTTTATTTCCTGAATGATTTTTTTCATTCATTGCACCTTTTAGCATCCATTTTTGGCTAGTCTGTAAGTACTCATGCAAGAACTTACATTTTGATATTACATAAAACTTTTCCTAGGATGTAAGAATCTTTTCATGGTCATTATTTTCCTTGTCATTTGGTCCAAGTTTTCCAGATACTCTTTGGTCCATTCAACAATGCCTTTACCATCCCTCACAACTCTGAGTGTCCAAGTATTGATGCCTGAAACTAAATTTCCACAATTCTTATCTTTTCATGCATATGCATGTTTACACTAGATGTCTTGTAGCCATAACTAACAATAGAATAACAGAAAGTCTCCCAAAATATCTAACACTTTTTCAATATCTTTTCCAACCCCAGCAATGCTGTAGTTTGTATACTCTAAGCTCTTTATTGCATTTCCAGCTCATTCAGTTTCAATTCCAATGCATTTTGGTACTGTTCCACATGCACTAAACTTCTTCTATTTTGACATGTTTTGCTAATGAATCAGTGTAACAACTATGAAAACCATAGTTATAACGCAATAGCCAGTACTTAACCAATCATTACCATTTGCACCTGCAATTAAATCTTTAGTTAAACGTTCCTTGTCAATCTCAATGGCTCAAGAAAATTTCACACTGCAATATTTTGTTGGAAAAAAATACACAAAATAAGTTGATCTGTTTTTGAATGAAGAACATTTACTTTACAACTATTCTATTTCTTTAATAAAGCAATCAAGAAAAGAAAAAACTTTTTGCAGTACAAGTTATTTTTACAATTTTTTGCTATTTAAAATTGTTTATGCCATCTTCTCTCTTCCTGAATCCTCCCATTGTCTTTTCTCCTCACTTCTGACTAAAGTATTCTCATTATCTTTCAATCCCAGTAACCTCTTGCATTTTAGTGGCATTATTGCCTTATTTGGGGTGAAATGATTAAAAAAAAATTAACTCCAAAATTAAATGTGAAGTTATGGATAGATACAATTTAAGATTCATGATTGTTTTTGGTTTTGTTTTTTAAGTGAACAGTGTGAATAACAAATAACTTTTAAGTTAAGCTTTCTTACAAATTAATCAAATTAAACAAAATTGACTAATAACAATAATAACAAAACTATATTTCATTGAGCAGATAAATTTAATTTTTAATTTAATTTTTTTCAACAAATAAATGAATTGTGTTACATTTTAAAAAATAGTTATATATCTGGTCAAATGCTCTTAATTGCAAGCTATTGTTAGAATTATTTAATAGTAAAATTTAAAAACAATTCTTCATGTTTTCAATATTAGGTTGTGAGAAATATATAGTTCAAAATATAAATTTTTACTTTGTTTATACGTACATAATTTGGATACTTCTTCATATTTTTAGTATAGACATTAATTACTTTTCATAGTTTCAATAAGATTTTAAAATCTTTATAACTTGTGACATAAAAAATATGGATGTTAAGTACAAGTTTCTTTTTTGTTTCCATTTTCTCTAAAATTATTCTTTCATTGTTGCTCACATGGTTGTTCCAAGGTATTTTTGACATCCTTCTGTAGAACTACATTTCTGTTGCTTCAAGTCTCATTTTTATCTGTACAGAGAATGTCCAGCATTCACTCCCATATAGAACTGGTATTATGTAACAGTTCAGTACTCTTTTCTTTGTTTTTCTTTTTTTTTCTTAATATTTTTTTCTTAATATTTTACTTCATGAGACATGCCTTCCAAAAGCTATCTCCATGCACCTTCCAATTGCAGTGTTGCACTTTCTGTCCTCTTTTAAAACACTTTCCATATATTTAAATTGTTGTACTTAAAGTTGTTGTATCCCAATTTGTAATTTGCAAGTTGGGCTGTTCCTTTTGCTAACAACCATGCATTCTGTCTTCTCTGGGTATGACAAACTAGATTTTGTAGCAAGATGAGGAGGGTGGAACCACCTCTTAATTGCTGTTATTTCCAAGTCCATGCTAACCTGGGGTGGTAGCACCTGTTAGGGTCCCAGCTGTGGGCAAATAGTGAACCCTCAAACAAAAAGAAAACTTGGTGAATGTATAAAAATACATATTTATATTAAAAAAAATTACCAACAATGCTTTTTATATGTAGTTGAAGGCATACAATTGCATTCAGAATATATTTAGCGAAAGCCATAAAATTGTGTTCAAAATATTTAGATTTCAGCATTAAATAACACTTAGAGATTGATATGCTGATAAACAAAATCAACCAACCCATAGAGGGTTGATAATACCATAAAACTAATCAGTCAACATACACTGCAAATATCAATTCAGAATTTGAGGAGAAATATATACATCACCACAGAATTTGTATGGGCCTGAATTGCAAATATGGATTTATAGAGAAATATCTATCATCTCAAAGTATGAGTCTGGTTTTAGTTTACAAAATGAATTGAAATCCTCACATTCTCACTATACTGCAAGTATTTATTTAAATTAAAAAATATCTATATTCATTATTAGTATGATTATACATTGCAAAAATGCATTTTCAATTTAAAGCAGCATTTCTGTGGGCCTATAGTGAATATATCATATATATCTATATAGATATCAACATTGTCACCATCTCAGGGATTGCCTAAATTAAAAATATGAATAAAGGGAACTGGCTATATTCTCATAGTATTTGTGTGGGTGTACATTACAGACATGTATCCCAAATGTGAAAAAAGAAATCTATTTTCTCATGGTTGCAATTGGGGCCTGCATTTCAAATATGTTATCAATGCAGTGCTAAAGACATAATCTCTACAAAAAAGTTGATTTTCTTGTAAATTTCAGATCTTCATTGTATAATCATGATAGGTACATATTTTCTTTTGACTGGAAGAATTAAGATAAAATCCTGGTAGGAATGGAGACAATCATTTACATTCATTAAGGAATGTTTATTCTATAGTGAAATAATATTTGATTTCTAAAGCTTTTACAGAATTTGAAATGCTTCACATCTGAATATAACAAATATATAATATGTTTTGTTATTTAATGAGAATAATTCCTAAAATGAATAATCTTCTTTTTGCAGAATAAACTCTTGTGTTGATCTCATAGTTAGAGCCCTTCCTGTGTTTGAAGCCCTTCATATCCGTCCAGGCTCTGCAAAAGATCATGCCATCCTTAAAAATTTTGATGATCTCCAAGAGACATTCTCTTACTTTTTCTCAAAGGGTTCTGCTGCAGAAAGGAGTTACATGAATAAGGAAGAATTTGATAAAATGGTGTCAGTTGCAGAAAACATTTCCAATAGCCAGGTATGCTTATTATTCTTTACTTTTTGTAAAATATTTGGGTTTCTTCTTTAAACTCTGGTAGTTCTCTGTATGCATATTTATATTTGTTGTAGCATACTACAGACGATAATGAGTATGTCCCCATTCTTATAAATACAGTAGTAAATACTGTATGTTGGTCTGCAGATGGAGATTTATTGTGGAATTCACATGACTCATTCTAGCAGTTGACTACTTCTCCTATGCGTCACTGGCAAATCTTATATGTGTTGTTCTTGTCCTAAGTATTTTCGTTCATTACCAACCTTCATGTGATTATTCTATTCAATAACCTTCCCTAGGTTATAACATTTTGGCATCAAGGATTAGTCAAAATAAAACATTTTGACAAGTTTTGGTCAAAATACAACATTTTAGTGATGATTTATCCAAATCACAAAATGTCATTTTGGTGTCAAGAATTTGGCCACAAATCAAGGAAACGTTCCCCAGCACAACTTCGGTGAAAAAAGATATTGCCAAAATCACACATTAAAATTCACCAAGGCTTGAATTTGAAAAAAAACAAAATGGAAGACTTTAAAACGATACTACTTGAAATGGTCAACCAGCAAGACAAACAGCAAAAATGGTACAAACAAAAATTCAAAAACTCATGGAAATGTTGTAGAATAACAGAAAATGTTCAGGAATAATAAGAATGGATATTCTGAAGACACTATTATAAATGTGATTGCAGAATTTCACTATTTACCAGAAAAAGAGTTAACTTTTTCATCATATTTCTGTGGATATGAAGATTTGTATAAGACTGTGCAAACTGGTCTGATGATAAAAAGGTCATACTTTTGCTAAGGAAACTAGGTGCTGTTGAATACACTAAGTTTGTAAACTATATCTTACCAAAGAAGTCTAGTGACCTAACATTTAAACAAACGGTTACTTTGTTTTCGGAAGTTTTCAGCCTGAAAACATCTTTGTTCCATCAAAGATAGAAATGTATGAATTAGTGAAAAACGAAGATGACAACTTCACAACGTTCACAAGCATTATGAACGAAAATTGTGAAAAGTTCAAATTGGCAGAATTAAGCCCTGACAATTTCTAATGCTTGATATTTGTGCAAGGGTTGGTGACAACAAAAGACACTGAAATCTGATAAAGGATTTTAAATAAATTGGGAAATGAACCCAATTTAACATTGCAAAACCTAGCAGAAGATTGTCAGAAATTTGTAAATGTTTGTCAAGATGCCAAAGATATTGAGATAAGCAGTGTGTCGAACATTAAAAAAGTGTATCAAAACCTTAAAGCGAAGAAAGGAAAAAAACACATCACTCCTAATTCCTGTTACGCTTGTGGAGAATTGCATTGGTATAAGGATTGTCCTTACAAAAAAAAAAACAATGTTTCCAGTGTAGAAAAAAAAGGACATTAAAAAAACCACTGTAAGACAAAATTTAAAAAACATTAAAATTACTAATGTGGATAAATCTCCTATAAGAAAATTTGTGCAGGTAAAAATCCTGAACAAAAACATCAGACTGCAACTTGACAATGGTTCTGATTTGAGTATAATAAATGTTTATACGTGGAGAAAATTGGGTAAACCAGCATTAATGGTTACCAAAAAAATAGCTCATAGTGTTACAGGACAAGATAAAATTCGAGGGGGAATTTATGATGAATGTAACGTTAAAAGATAAAACCTTGAAATTTAAGACTTTTTGTCATAAAGAAACAAATAACCTGTTTGGAACAGATTGGATGGAACATTTCAATTTATGGAACAGTCTGATCAATTTGTTTTTCCAAAAAGTGAAAGGTTTTACTAATGAAGCAGAAAGTCTAAAAGAAGAATTAAAAGCTAAATTCCCAGATGTATTTTCTGGTGGATTAGGCAGGTGTAAGAAAATGAAAGCTAAATTTGAGCTAAAAGAAAATGTACAACCAGTTTTCAAAAAGAAAAAAAATGTACCATATGCTTTGCTAAAACAAATTAATGACAAGCTTGATAGGCTTAAAAAAAATGGGTGTTTTATCAAAGGTGGAATATAGCGATGGGCTTTGCCAACCATTTATATAAAGAAAAAATTGAAAAAGATAAGTGTCTGCGTGGATTTTTCCACGGGCTTAAACGATGTCTTCAAAAGTTATCATTACTCACTTCTGAGACCAGAAGAGGTTTTTGTGCAGCTTAGTGGAGCAGGGGGTGGGGATAATATCCAAAATTGACCTAAGTGATGCGTATCTTCAGATTCCAGTAGACGAATGTTCAAGATTACTGAACATAAATATGCATCGTGGGATGTACAAATTTAATCGTTTGCCTTTTGGCATAAAGGTCACTCCAGTGATTTTTCACCAAGTAATGGACACAATGCTGAGTGGACTAGACTTTGCAGTTGCGTATCTTAACGATATTTTGCTGAAAAGTGAAAACCCTAAAGAACACAAGAAAAAGTATTTTTGAGGTTTTTATAAGAATTCAGGATTATGGATTCAGACTGAAGGACGAAAAGTGTGAATTCTTTATGGACAAAATTAAATATTTAGGTCAGATAATTGAAAAGAAGGGCAGGAGACCAGATCCAGCATGTGCCAGTGCTATAAAGGACATGCCTACTCCTGTAAATGTCAGTACCCTACAAAGTTTCCTGGGGTTAGCAAGTTACTATAACGTATTTGTATCAAATATGCATTGCTTGTGAGCTCCATTGAATGAGCTTTTGAAGAAAGACGCTAAATGGTCTTGGTTGACGGAATGCCAAGAAGCATTTGAGGAAATTAAAAAAATACTAATGTCAAACTTGTTCTTGATACACTACAATCCAAAAAAAAATAAATTGTAGCAAATGATGCTAGTACATATGGTATAGGAGCCTGCCAGAAATTGACCACACCCATGGTCACATCTGTATGTTGACTTTGCTGGTTCATTAAATGGGACATATTATCTAATTGTTGTAGGTAGTTTTTCAAAGTGGCTAGAGAGATTCAGATGTAACAAACCAATCATGCAAGTAGTAATTCAGTTTCTACAAGAACTGTTCATGAGGTTCGGAGGATCAAATTTGATTGTGTCAGATAATGGCACTCAATTTACATCGAAAGAATTTAAGGAATTTTGCAAAATGTTTGTGGTAGAGCACATAACAATTGCCCCTTACCATTCTAGAAGTAACAGCCAAGCAGATCATTTTGTGGATACCTTCAAAAGGGAAAAAAAAAAAAGCCAATGGTGGATCCACAGATGCAGTTTTTACAGGTTGATAGGCTTATGCTGAATAGAAATGCGCCTTCAGCCATGACTCCAGCAGAAATTATGTTTGCCTGAAAAATATGATCAGTTTTTGACAAATTTATACCCAATAAGAAAAAACATGATTATATGGTACAAAAACCTGAAAAAAATTTTTATAAAATTGATCAAAAGGTTTTTTACTGTATGTACCAGTCAAAAAAAATGTATTGGGAAGTTGGAACTGTTGTCTGAAGAATTGGCAGGATGGTGTATCAAGTAAAAGGTCCTGAAATGGTACACAAGAGGCACTATAATCAAATTAAAAGTAGGTATTCAACTGAAGAGATCACTACACTAGACAAGGTTGAACCTATGGCAGTTCTTTTTGATACTTTTGATTTGCCCATCTCTCAGAAAGCTCCAGAGGTAGAAATCCAAAAAACACAGAGTAAAAGAAAAAGAAGTGATACAGAAAGATTGAAGTCAACCCAAAAAGAAAAAATATTGATTCTATACAGAAAGTGGGGATGTTGTGGCATATGGAAGATAATGGGTATGTCCCCATTCACATAAATACAGTAGTAAATACTGTATGTTGGTCTGCAGTTGGAGATTCATTGTGGAATTCACTTGACTCACTTCTAGCAGTTCTATGTGCCACTGACGAATCTTATGTGCTTTTGTCCTAAGTATTATCATTCATTACCAACCTTCGTGTGATTATTCTATTCAGTAACCCTCCCAAGGTTACAACAATATTAGGGGTCGAATTAAAAAAGGGTGCTGAAAAGTTCTTAGCTAAATTCACTTCCTAACATCTGATTAAATATGAAAATTTCAGCACTGTTTAAGAAACATACCTGTTTTTTAAAAAAAAAAAAAAGGTGTCACAATATTGGTTTTTCTCTTGGTACCACTATTGCATACATTCTCAGCAATTTTTGTTTTAAAAAGACATTTTTAGGATTTTAATAAAATTCAAACACATGAAACTGGGTTTATACATATTTTTTTTCTTGGCTTTTTTCCTGTGGTGAAAGCAAATGAAAGAAATGCCTAGAAAATGCATTTTTTTTCAACATTTATTATTAGTTACTCAACATTGCGTTTATTTAAATTTTCTTGTTCATGTACATTATAAATTTACAAAAAAAATAATATTTTCAGAGTTATTTCTTCACAGTATGGTAATTTATAAATATTGTATTGTTGTTGCTGCTGCGTGTGTTTTATAAACTTGTAAATATAAAATCATTATTGTATATAAACAATATAATAAAAAGTCTTTGTCAGTTCTCAAGAAAAAAAGAAAATGTGCAAATCCAGTTTCATACATTTGGGCTTTCTAAAAATATCTTTTAAAAAAAATCGCCAGTGATAGTGGTGTCAAGAGAAAAACCGTCCTTTTGACATAGTATTCTTGTGCAGGTATGTTTGCTAAACTTTGCCAAAATTTCATTTTCATTTCATCTTAAACTTTTGAGCACTCCTTTTTGTATATGCTTACATTTCTCATTATCACCTTTTAACAAAATAATAAGCCTTCAACCCTTTTAAAATATATGAAGTTTTATTCTTTCATTGGTTCTGTATCTTACATTTTCTCTGCTTTTATTGACATGGCAGAAATTTTGATAATTATGAAATTCTGAAATAAGATATTCATCAGAATGATGTCTGAAAACAAGTTTTTAGGACTGTAAACAGATATTTGACTTTAAATTTTGATGTTCAGTGAATCTAGATGTTTAATTTAGCTGATCTAATTCAGTTTTTT